AAAATAACTTAATGAGGTAATTGAAAGTAAAAAAAAGAAGAAAAAGAAAAAAGAAAAAAACATCACACATCTTCTTCCCAACCCAAATCTATCACCATTTCACTGTAAATCATTTTCTCGTAATTATCAAAAGACTATCAAAAATATAATGGGAACTTCATCTTCATCATCAGGAACAATCACTAGATCACAAGTATTTTGTGTCGCTCCAAACAACTTACTCATCAAAACACCTTTCTCATATTCTTTACTTTTCAACGAAAAAAACATCAAAACTTCAACCATTATGATTATGTGATGAAAACTAAGAGTTTTTCTTTTAAACTAATGCAATAATTAATACTCACCTAAGAGATGGGTATGCTATTGTTTGGAGCCATACAAAATACTTATGATCCAATGATTGTTCTTGATGATGGTGATGAAGATGAAGTCTTTATTACAATTTTTATAGTTCTTTTGATGATTACCGAAAAAATGTTAGTGTTACAGGAAAATAATTGATAGTGAAAATGGTGATAGATTTGGGTTGGGAAGAAGATGTCGATTAAGTGATGTTTCTTTTTTAAGTGATGTTTTTTTTTTCAATTACCAGATTAAGGATATTTTAGGGATATCAAATTAAATTAGACGAGATAGAAGAATGATGACAAGTGCCATAATTTTAATGATAAGAATATTTGTGAGAGTCCGTTTAAAAAAAAAGTATATTTATGAGAGTCAATCTAATTTCTTTCTCATTTATAGGATTTAGAATATCAAATCATACTTATCTCTAACAATCAAAAAAAAAAAAACGAGCGGTAAAATGCACATTTTAAAGATTTTAAAAACACAATATAAGCTTAATTCTGATAAACACATATTGATTTGTTCTAACTTCTAGAAAAAAAACCATCAACTTACTCTGCCAAAATCATAGTATATTATTAGTACAAAGATGAGAAATTAAAACATCACCATTCACCGCTCACAAACGGCTTGTTTGTAATCGACTTTTTCCAAAAGCAAACCAACTTTCTTAACATATCCATCACATTGTCAAATGACCAATATGTCCCTTTTCCATCTACCTCGAGGAGCCACAAGAATATTTTTTGTACATATATGGGTAAAATATCCTATTACATTGATAATCAAACCATTTTTTATTATCATTTTACATTCGATTTTTAAATTTGAAGAAATTTTTTCAAATAATACTTAATATAAAGAAACCATAAGAGGATGTTGTGAAACATACACTTAAAAATTGGTGTATCTTTTAAGCTATCATTTATGTCACTAACAAATCTTAAGGATTGAACTTGGCCTAGAAGGATCTCTTACAAGCCTACAAGTGATCTCTTACTCAAATGATTTAATTTTTCTTCTATTCGATCAAAATACTATTAATAAACAATATATAATCAGATGTGTATGAACTAAAAGTCTAAAACCAATTACAAAAAGCCTAGAAATGATTGTTTATAACCACTAGACTAGAACATGTATTAAACCGTTGTTGTCCGAATAAATTAAACATACAAAAAATCTTAAACGCTGAAAATCAAATACTAGCCTAAGTTGTTCTTTTGTATGTAAAATACTACAAGTTTACAACGATAATCAAAGTTGGATAACTCGTTGGATCATGTAAATGTTAATTATCTAAAATAATTGATCACTACTAAATTCATGTCAAAACCAAGGTCTATATACATAAACCAAATGTACCATTCATGTAAAAATAAAAATCAAGATGGTTGTATTGTTTTTTCTTATTTGTCACTACGAACGGTTGAGAAGCAAAATTCTATAAAAGGAGTTCATGGTGTAAATTCTTATGTACCTAAAATGTTGATCGTGACCAACGATTTACTCACCACATGATGAGCTTTAAAGACAAATTCAACATGTACCGACTAGCAAGTACGATTTATCATTTTTATTTGTTGTCTGTGATTTTTCATTTGTTTTGAACTTAACATGGGTAAATGATGGGGTTAAATAATTAAACAAGTGTTATACATCATTGCCATCACTATTTATGGAGTATTGGTATTGGAATTTAATTTAATCAAGGTAGCACCACATGTAATTACATGCTCTCAAAACTTGTTTACTTTAGTCATTATGAAAATTATAGGACCATTTGTCCATTTGTACTTGCTAGAATATTTTTAATAGAAAAATAACTTTTCTAACATATTTCACTTGTTAAATACTTCTTAGTTAAAAGGATTCTACTACATTGCGAATGACTTACAATTAAGGGTACTAGCCGTCAAGTTCTATACTATTCACACCATAGCTTTGCTATTGTCTGTGTTACTTGCTTTTTCTAGTTAAAAAGTTCAAATATCAAATCACTTTTTGAACTTATTTGCTTACAGCGGTTTAAAATAGATTTTTGATAAGATGATATAACAAATTAATGGCTATTTATCAGAAATGATCAAACTTTTTATGTGTTTATTGAAAGAACTTCTTGCTTCAAAATGAAACCGTTTCGGAGTATGGTGGTATAGGCATAGCCTCTTAGTATCACTACTAGAAAAAAGGCTTTTCTTGACAGACGAATTACGACACACAGAAGTTCTATGACAGGCATAAAACTCTGTCATAAAACTTATGTCATATATTGTAAAATTTCAATGATTCACGACAGACAGAAATGTCTGTCATTAATTTATGTCGTATTTTAAAGAGTAAATTAAATTGCTTTTTATCCTTTAATATTACAAGAAAAAGTTAAAATTAAAAGGATACATAATGTAACTTAATAGAAAAATGTTTTTGAAAATTAAAATTCAATCCAAAGAAATCTAGGAATAATTAAAAATTTTATGATAATATAGAATAATTTATTATATAGATATTATCTTAGATGGATATATAATTTTAATACAGGGTATTTTTGATAAAGTTTGATAGAAGCTATATAGTCCTTATTTGTTAAAAGATGCAAGGAAGAAAAAAAAGTTGTACGTTTTAATTATAGTTGTCGGTGACTATCTTGACTATGTAAGGAGAATGCTACGAGTGTCATCCTATGGATAAAATGACTATCTATTTAAAATATGTAAAACGAAAAAAGGTACTGTGAAGATGGAGGATGGTCCATAAGTTGTCTAAATTATATTGAAATCCTTTAATATATATCCAACACAGTCAACTAAATAAAAAGTTACATCTTTTACATCGAACCTATATTGATCCATTACTTAACTCTTTTAACAATGCACAAAGAAATGTTCCAAAAAAAGATATGACTTATAAAATAAAGGACTAAACTTGGGTCACGATGAAATTCACGTTTGCAACTCATATTTCCATATATCTTCCTTTGAAGAATATATCATATCTCAAGGGACTGAAAAGGGAATAAAAGAGAAATAAAAGGATTGTATCATACATTGTAAGATTGGTGGGGCTTCTTATTGTAACAATTCACTGGAAGGCTCAGACACGATGATACCCTCAAATCTCGTATTACCATTCATAATCACCTCACCATTTCCATCAAATCAAAGAAAGCATCGATCGATTAGGGTTTCCCCGCTCAAGAAATCAACTCGTTGCCTCGCTATTTCCATCCTCGTTCGCCACTCGCCGACTTTCCACTACCCCACCGGTCACGCCATTGTCATTCATTCCACCGATTCTTGAATCACAAAGGCTTTTGCTTTACAGTTTGAGTAAGAATCGTAAGCAATGGAGGTCGCCGCACCTATTGTTGATGACGGGAAGGCTCGCAGCGATATCTTGCTTTTTAACCGTTGGACCTACGATGACGTTCAGGTTATCTTCTTAAACGATTAATCCAAATTCACCGGTATCAGTAGATGTTTGTTTGTGTAAAGTGTTTCAGTATCCATGCTTCCTGTTAAATTCTTCAATGGTTGTGTGAAATTAAGCTCAATGTATTGTGATTCTAGCTCACGAACATCAATCTTGATCTGGTTGATTTAGAATAATATGTGAATTCTGTAAACAGGTTCCTGATCTTTCTGTACTGCTACTGCATCAAAGCACCCAATCTACATGCCTCACACAACTGGAAGGTACCAAGCAAGGAGGTTCAGGAAGGCTCAATGCCCAATTGTGGAGCGATTAACCAACTCTCTCATAATGAATGGGAGAAACAATGATAAAAAGGTCGTGGTTGTTCGCATATTCAAACACGCAATGGAAATCATCCATCTGTTAACCGATGCTAATCCCATTCAAATCATCGTAGATGTTGTCATCAACAGGTACACAATCAATCACCTTCTACAGTTTCACTCTACTTCTTTTCAACCATCCTTACATTTCCAGTAGTATCTCGGCCTGTGATGAAGCAATGGATAATTTTTCATCTCTGATTACTCAGAAAACTCATGTTGATATGAGTAATAACCGAGCTAGATTGGAGATACTCCTTAATTTCGTTAATATGGATATTAGTTACTACTAACACATACTTCGTTTTGGAATATGCAATTAGTGTTTTTACTTATTAGCTTTCCTTATTTAATGCAACCTGACATTTGACATTTCTTACAGATTATGGATTTGGAGTAGTCAATTCAAAGGTGAAGATAATCCATGTGACTAGAGTAAGTGACATGGATCCTTAGTTCCTTACAAATGGTCTAAATCAAAATGGAGATGCGTAATGGTACTTCACATGTCAACCTCATAACTAGTTTTATTATTTTATACTTTCATTCTTTAAATTTCAAACCCATTTCAACAGGTGAGGTGGGATGAAGATGTTGGTAACAACAATCATGAATGAATCTCTCAATGAGAGATTGATCTTTCGGGTGTATCTGTCCCACTTTTAAGCATTCATCCTTCTCTAAGATTCAAAAAACTCCAGTCCTCTGCAACTGACACAGGTCCTCTACAACATTAAAACCAATATTAAAATTAGTGTAAACTGTTTTAATCATATTTATTATACTATTTGAAGAAGTAGGTTTTTGCAACTGACACAGGTCCTCTGCAACATTCAAGTCTTTACAAAAGTGATGCCTTCTCTTTTTGCTCCAAATTTTGAAGACCTCTTTATAAACACTTCATATGCATATCAAGTCAAATCTCTAAAACTTGAGATCCTTTCTTCCATTGCTACAGATGAATCAATCTCAGTTATCTTTCAAGAATTGCAGGTAGTTTTATTAATATATTTTAAAAAAAGATTAGATTGAATATAATTTGGGATCCAAAACCATCGAGTTATGTTTGAATATTCTATAGTGCATTGGAAATCTCAATTCTCACACTCCATTTTTGCCTTAATAGTTTCATATCCGGCTCCATAATCCCTTATTTCTTCTTCTCCCTCTTAATTCTCAGCGCAGAAAAGAAAATAGTACTTGTTTGGTGGCACTGGGAACAGATGATGGTGAAGTCTTCACCATTAATGCCACTTCTGCAGAGTTAAAATGGAAATCTTTTGGACATCATCATAGGTATGGTAGGAAAAATAATAAGATGACCATGATCATAAATTTTCTGATTATTGATGGTTAAAATAACCAAATTTGGAGTAATACTTGAAGCTCAGAACTTTTCCATGTGCAGTAGAATTGCTGCTCTTTCTTTTGCAAACAAAGGGCGTAAACTTTGTGCTATAAGTACAGATGGAACAACATGCGAAATGAACTCTAAAACTGGTGAACTGTTAAAAGAAATGAAAATCTCAAATAAACTTATCTCTTCATCTGTATATATTTTTCTGGCGAGTCTTCCCAACACATGGTCCTTAAATTGTCTTAAACCTTTTTCTTATAAGGTTTGTTTTCTTGTAATGATAGATGATAAAATATTAGCTGCATCAAATACCAAGATCAGAGTTCTCACCTTAGATGATGGAGAAGAACTACTTAAGTTTTCCACAGATGCTGTATGTTCCTACCTTTTGTATGCACATTTTTAAAGTGATTAGTGCAGTTCTGATGATTTTTTTTTACTTTTCTTTAGGGTCCTGTGAATCATATGTTTATGTTGGATGATACAAACACCATAATTACATATGTATTTGGTGACAAGAATCTGCATGTGTGGAAAAATGGATAAAGTCAACAACCATTAGTTGCAGGAGACTATGCATCGAGTACAATTATTCCAGCTTGTAAAGTTGTGATTGACGTATCAAATGCTGCAAAAGATTTGATTGATTTATCGAAATCCCGATAATACCCTTTACATGCTTCCATCAACCCCACAAGCACTGTTGGAGGCAATGGGTGGCTCTACTGGACCTGATGTTGTCATTGCTGCAAAAAGAATGCTGCCCTTTTGACTGCCTGAGTTGGTGCCCGAGACCCCTCCGCTATTCCTTCTATTTGTCGTGTTTCTGCTGCCCTTCAATATCCTGCAGGTGTGTGTGTGTGTTTGTGTGTGTTAGACTGATGTGAAATTACTAAAATACCCTTGGTTAATTTTAAGGGTTGGAAGGTTCGGATGCCGGCTTAGCATCGGTGTTGGAATCGATGGAATTCTGTTTGAAGTTGCGGGGTTCAGAAGCTTGTGTTTTGGAGGACTTAGCCAAAGCTATCAATCTGGTGCATATCAGGAGGGATCTTGTGGAAACTGGTCATGCGTTGCTAAACCATGCTTATCACAATCTACAAGAATACGAAAGGTATGAGGGTGGAACTGGAATCTGTGATTCCGACGGAATTGGAATATGTGATTCCATTCCAATGCTAAATAAACGGAGTTTAATTCTATCTCAAGGTGGAACCAGAATTAGTGATTCTAATGGAATCGGAATCTGTGATTATGTTGGAATCAGAATCTATGATTCCATTCCACTGCCAAATCAACGGAATTTAATTATATCTGAAGGTGGAACCAGAATCAGCGATTACGACAGAATTGGAATCAGTGATTCCGACGGAACCAAAAGCTTACAAAATTCAAATGAAAACCAAAATTGCAAGAGAACCTTTTGACATTATGGTTAGTGTAATGGAATGTATTTTTGTATATGTATGATATCTTATTTTGCATTATTAGACATTAAATGTGTCATTTAGTTTGTTTAATATTTGGTACAAATTAAGAATATATATATATATATATATATATATATATATATATATATATATATATATATATATATATATATATATATATATATATATATATATATATATATATATATATATATATAGCGCCATGACATACAAAATATGGCGTAAAACTATGTCAAAAATCATGTCGTATAGAATGTCATAAATGTTTGTCATAATTGCAAGAATGTTACAAATTACGACATACAAAGCCAATCGTAAATGTATGTCGAAAACGCGTGTCGTGTATGTATGTCGTAATTGTGGGTCATAAATGTCTGTCGTAAAATTTATGACAGGCCAAATGCCTGTCATTATCCTTTATGACATGGCTTTCAATGACAGACATTTGTCTGTCATGTATAGGCATTTACGACAGACAATGTCTGTCAAGGAAAGCCTTTTTTCTAGTAGTGTATGGGAAAATGGGTATGTCAGGGTTCGATCCTTGGTACTAACATGAATTGGAGTATTAACACTAACACCTAACCAGTCAAGCTGCCATTCAAAAAAAAATCGATAATCTCATCTCTATAAAAATGTATTTGAAAAAAAAATCATTTTTTCTTTTTAAACCGGGACATGTCGAGTGTCATTGGGTTTTCAAGAAAATGACATCTTTTTATGATGCTTTATCTACTTTTGTTAACAAAAGTTTTTTTTTACCTTGTCGTTAGATATAAGATACACATCAATATTATGGAATTCGAAATACATATTTTGAATTTTAGACGCTGTAAGGTATATTTTTAATTTATTTTTATACAAGAAAACAATACCAAGATTGTTAGTTTGTTAAGCTTCATGATGTTGACCCCAAAATCGTCATTTGATGTGTTGTTCAAAGTCCGAGATGTCTATTATGGAATTTTATTTGGATTTCAGACTTACTTATATTCCTTATAGAGGCATACTTGTTTCAGAATCTTGATCCTTTTATATTTTGTTTTGTTGATAAATGATAATAAAAGTTAAAGCGCAAGGGATTTAAAAAGATCACCACTTACCAGGAAGGGGATTGAAAAATTGTCATATCAATGCAAATTTTTACCCTACTCTCGGTCCCAAACCTTAGTGCACCTGCTAGAAACTTGACTATGTTTTAGGGTTACTGTAACACCCATTTTCTAGAATGGTTCATTGCAGGGCATTAAGGAGTCAAAATCTTGGGTTTGGGGGAAAATCGAGCGTCACGACATGACCATAGGGCGGTCACGACGTGACAAGACAAAATGAGGAACGCGTATTTTGATTGTGGTCACGACGTGAGGAAGGCTAAATCTCAAGCCCATGATCTTTTAGGGTTTCTGTCATATTTAAACTCCAATAACTCGATTTTAGGGTTCATTATCAGACACCATCATCCTCAAACCTCATAAAACCTTAACCCTAATCCCTCTTGGTAGTTCTCGGCTCAGTTTGGTGCATTTGGTAGGTTGAAGAAGAAGAATAAGATGTTCAAGAGTATTGATCCAGCAAGGAATCATCATCATCATCATCATCCTCTTGTGCACATTCTGGACCTTTGTAAGTGTCCAAAATTCAAACTTTATGCTTCTAGGTTGCTAGATCTAAGTCTTTCTCCCTTTATCTTCAAGTTTGAGCAAGTTAAAGTGATGGGATTCCATAATGTTGGCAAATTTATGGATCCCTGAAGTCATTTAGGTGTTATATGGTTCATATACGAAATTTAGTTGTGAATTGTGAGCCTTGTTTGAGTTTTGGATTGTTTTTTAGATTTTTGACCTAGGTGGGTTATAGGACATGCATGAGGCATGCATGTCCATAAAGTTGACATTTTTATGAATCTTTGGTGTCCCTATCAGCTTTTTGGAAAGTGGGAGTTGAAGACTTAATGGATTAAGGACTCAAATCATTAAGTTGGTGCTTCAGGCCGTGGTCACGACGTAACATTGAGGATGTCACGACGTAACCGAGGAGGATTCCATGACAATATTGTCCTGTTATGCTCATGACGTGACCAAGGAGGGTTTACGTTGTGATGCTTATTGAACGAGTTGGTCGTGATCGAGAGGCTGAGTTGGAGTGAGACGAGTTGGAATCGGGTTGAGTGTGTTCTCACGAAGTGACCAAGGACTGGTCACGATGTAAGGGTCTGTTGTTGGTATTATTGGTTGTTGACTTTGACTTTGACCATTGACTTTTTTGGGTATGGTTGACTTTTTGTCACGATTGCTAGTCTTAGTGTGTAGACTAAGGTGAGACCTTGTATGTTTTGATAGGAGTGTTGTAGCATCTTTTATGGGGTTTGAGATGTGGTTTAACTGATTTCGTGAGACAAGTGAGTCTTCTCACTATACTATGTAGGTTGCTAGATTGTCTTTGTGATTCTTATATGAAAGATTGTGGTTGGATCACAACACCTGTATGAAAGACTGTGGTTAGATCAAAGCATTTGTATGGAAGACTATGGTTTGATCACAACACTTATTTTTCTTTGTGACTTGCTTGGAAGACCATGGTTGGATCATGGCAGCAAAGACTGTAGTTTGGCTGTAGCACAGGAAGACCATGGTTGGATCATGGAAAGAAAGACTGTAGTTGGTTTGTGGCAATAGAAGTGATTGTAAGACTATGGTTGGATCATAACATTCATATGCGTTGAAATATACCCCTAGGGTTGGGCCCATTAATATTTATGGTATGTTGTATTTTGGGGAACTCACTAAGATTTGTGCTTATGGTTTATGGGTTAAACATTTTTCAGATACTTCCAGTTCCAAAGGGAAGGGTTCGGCTTGACTGCATAGCATCCCCTTGTGATTTCCGCATCGACGATTACTAATATTCTACTCTGATGATTGTGATACATTTTTACTAGGATTGGTTTTGAAACACTTGATGTATTGATTTGAAGATCATAAAAATGAACATTTGTGCTACTATTTTTGGGACGTTACAAGTTGGTATCAGAGCCTTGGTTTGAGGGCTTCGGGCACACTCTTGGGTGTGTTTGAACTCAGAATGAGGAATTGGTAAACTTTTTTTTAAAGAAAATAAAGTTTTCTAATAAGACTTTTACAAAGAAAGGGGTTCGATGCGTGCAATCAGCCGATTGATGAGAGGATTCGCGAGTTCGTTTCGTCTGAGATCACTCGCGGTATTTTGGATGCGACTCCTGTGATGTTTTGTACCATCAAGTAGGGGATCACGGAGCTGCTGGATGAACGACTTGGGGCTTTCCGTGCTGAGATTGCGGCGGGTTGGTTGGGGGATCGAAATCGCTCTCTTTTTGGGAGTTTGTGAGCCTATCGAGCTGCAAGAGTTTAGATGATATGATTGTTAGAGCCCAAGAATAGGAGATAGAGCTGCAACTTCAGGCGAAGTGCGGGCCGGAGCAGGTTCAGACCGCATTGGGCCAAGAGAAGAGGCCCAAGACTCACGATTCGCGATCGGGGGACCATCAAGGTTGGGGTCGTTGTGCCAAGTGTGGGAGGACTCATGAGTCGAGTTGTCATGAGAAAGGAAGGGGTTGCTTCAGTTACGGCCAAGATGGTCATTATACCAGGGATTGTCATCGGGATTCGAGTCTGATTTGTCCTCACTGCAACCAGGTGGGCCACAAGAAGGCAGACTGTCTGAAGTTGATGAGTGGAGTGGTGAGGACACCAGATCCAGCTACGATGAGGATTGTTGATGGACGTGAGAGCAGGGTGGAGGATTTAGTGGCAAGGAGCCGATCTTTTTAGTTGCAGGCCGAGGTGACCTGAGTTCCATCAGATTCAGTTGCAGATATGTATCGTATACGCTTCCTTCATGCTTTTATTATTTATGCTTACGAGCATGTGGTTGTCTGTGTGAGACGTTATGTTCGGTATAGTTAAAAGGATCATAGTTTCTTTATGTATGTTTGGTTATTATATTTTAAAGAATTGTCATATGCCATTTTGCATACCGAGAGCCGTGTTTAGAGGGTATTTAGTTGAACCGGTTTCATGCTTCAATGTGGGATACATCGGTCAATGACAGAGTAAGCCTTAAGTGGAGGAAGACTGAATGTTCTACTTGAAGGAATCTGTGACATCCCCATTTTTACGGTCTGAAAAAGACTTTTTATTTATGCTTAATTAAAACATTTGTTAATGCGGAATTGATCCAAAATTATGCTTGATATGATATAATATCAAACCAAGGCATTTCATAAGAAATGTTTTTCATTCGTATTTTCAAAACTCGAGATGTCATAACTGATATAAGAAACATAAGCATAAGCGAAGACTTACTACATTTCATTACACTAACGGTTAACATCTCCTTAAATCGCTCAGCAGAAACATACATCATTATCCATATATAATTACCTGCGATGCAAAGAAACCGAGTGGTTCAGGTTGGGAAAACTAGTAAGATACATAGGGTTTTCAACCCATAATATTATAATATTTAATAATATATTCTTTAAAATTCAAATAACCTAATTACCCCACTCCCATTATTCTCACTTACTAATCCTAATATGATGATCTCGAGGGATATTTCTTAGTGGATCTTTATCAGCAAACAACTATAATTCCTAGATGATTAGGCATGGCAGTATGATAATACTTTGGGTAAACACAACAAAACGACAATACATTAGTACTTTGGATAGTCACGAAAGGCACAATAGTACAATAGTACTTTGGGTTAGCATGACAATACAAAGCTACTTTGGAATGACACGGCAGACACGACTTATTATTTCGCACAACTTTTACTAACCTATCACAACCACTATCTCACACAGCCTTATCACAACCTCTCATTTGTTATTTTGCACAACCCTTCACTACCCAATCATATTATTAAGTATGATAAATATACGATTAAATCAAGTAACAATCATATTGTAGAACTACATTAGACACAACAAAGACAGAACACATAGAAATTAAGCATTTAGAATACTTGTATCTATGTGTAAGTTTGAAAGTAATTATGCACTCACTTGACTTAGGTAGGCGACTAGTGATCTGGGTA